AGCACCCCATGGCACCTATCCCACCCATCAGCACATATCCATGCAGCTTATGGCAGCACCCCATGACACCTATCCCACCCACTAGATATACCCATTCAGCTTATGGTAGCACCCCATGGTACCTATCCCACCCACTAGGTATACCCATTCAGCTTATGGTAGCACCCCATGGTACCTATCCNCAGCTTATGGTAGCACCCCATGGTACCTATCCCACCCACTAGATATAACCATTCAGCTTATGGTAGCACCCCATGGCACCTATCCCACCCATCAGCACATACCCATGCAACTTATGGTAAAACCCCATGGCACCTACCCCACCCATCAGCACATACCCATTCAGCTTATGGCAGCACCCAACGGCAACAACCAAGACTCTCGCGCGTCATTTTATAGAAATTATTAAGTGCACAATATTCTTAAATACATATACATTTTGATCTAGAGATTATCTGTTGAATATCAAAGAAACGCAACATGATTTTTGTCAAATAGTTAAACTAGATTTCTTATTCTTCAGTCTCGAATCGCCTGTTCGCCTACAGGGTTAGCCTCGATTTCCTATGGAATGACTTTGAATATTCATGTGTTCCAGTGAAGGTCTGTGGAATCTCGAGTTTGCATGGCTGAACTTGTGCATTCTTTACTTTACTGTTGGTATTTGTGAATATTTGGACACTCGACTAACCCTGTATAAATGAGTTTGTGATCAGTGAACACAGCGGTGTTTATCGTTCTACATAGATAATATATACAAGACAATTTTGTGGTGTAATTAATAACCCATACGAAATGTCAATCAACAATTTTCAAGAAGCTCTAAGGCTGTGGGAGTACAATCCTATAATACTTGTTTTAGGGTTGTGTGGGGCTCCAAACCCTACTGCTTGATAAGCTTGGCCACTAGCCACATAAGGATCATAAATTATCATAAACATAATCGTAAAAGTGGATGAGAATTTTTCATTGATTATGATTATGTTCGTCTGGCAAGGCTATATTTGATACAATGCATTCCCACTAGGAAATATTAAGCAGCATAACAGTTTTAACATTGTTTTATGATTATGATTATGTTCGTCTGGAAAGGCTGTGTTTGTTACAATGCATTCCCACTACGAAATATTAAGCAGCATAACACTTTTAACATTATGTTTTATGATTATGATCATGATCATTATGTCGCTAGCTTGGGTACTATACCAAGTCTTGGGGTACGCCACAAGGGCGGATCCAGGGTTTTTTGAAGGGGGGGTCTCAGGGGTAAATTTTGTGGGCAAAGGAATCCCAGTCGCATTTTTACCACAGGAAGCCCATTTGACCTCAGGAATGACAGGGGGGTTGCGACCCCCCCGACCCTCCCCCTGGATCCGCCCTTGCGCCATAGTTCTGATGATGGCATCAAACATATTCATCATAATAAGCCACTTCCAAGATATGCTTCACTTATGACGCTCAACGGTTTCATTACGAGGATACGTGCTAAACAAATCACTGAGCATTATGCACGAAGCCTCACATGTGACAAGTGAAGGATATCTTGGGGTTGGGTGAGTATACAGCTATTGTTGTTGCATGTTGCATTATATTTGTATATAGTTATACATACAATGTGATTGGCATGAAATAGTACGAACACTATAGGGTTTAAGAACTACAGTGGAACATGATTATCCTACTGTAAGTACAAGTGATCTCTGCTGTCTTATTTATAATAGATAAATTGGATTTCAAGAATCTTACACATATAACATCTTACACTGGTATAAACAGTACAGAAACTAGTTTAAAGGTTGACATACCATAAATCAAGTTGCGTACATGATGTGAAACACTAATTACTAAATAGTACAAAATAGTGTTAATTTTAAGTTTTCTATTATTTAAAAATAATAGAAAACAATGGAATTAGCATGAAATTGTGCTATTCAGTATTACTAAAGTTTCACGGTTATATTGTTTGCACTCTACAATACTGTAACTGGTTAGTAGCTGCCGTCAAAAAATGGCACTGGGAGAGGAGGAGAGGAGGAGAGGGTGAAAACCAGGTCAGCCCTCTCCATAGTGTAAGAATAAAATATTCCATCCTTTCTCCTAGTTATCATACTACTCAAACTAACAGGTATTTTTGGCCAATATATCTATTTCTTAATGATCCACCATACTCCCTTACTCCTTCCCCCCCCCCCCTCTCTGTACGCTTTCCACTAAATTTATGACCAAGAGAAAAATTTAGTCTAGAAGCAAAAGAGCTTTCAAGTTGCGATGCAAATTTCATGGGTCCATGATAAAGTTAGGCTCAGATATCTAGTAGATGGGGTTCTTGCAGCCACGATACTCCCTCTTAGAGTATCGCAATGGCACAAAACCCAGGAAACTGGAAATCTGAGTCTATGATAAAGTGCAGCAAACCAGTAAAAATCTGGTAACGCTTTTAAGTTCAACACAGCTAAATAAATCCCAATAATAATGAATAGGGAATCAAAGTGGTAATCCCAGCTCTGATATAATTGAAGTTGAAATGACAAACCCTTAAATCATGACAATCAAAAATACTATATGGCATTCATGTTTGATTATGGTTTGCGTCAGGATTATGTAATGCCTATGATCTGAAATGTTCTCAAATTTGTAAGAACAAATGTATGTTGTAGACATGATATGTGGAGGAACCTTAGTATCTTATTTTGCTGTGCAATGCAAGAAACTAATCAAAAATATTCATTTGATATATAGCATAGAAGGACAATTAGTCATTCCAAGGTGAGGAAAAAAACTGGGTTGTTGGCATTGCATTGTGGGACTGTTTTAGAGGATATATTTTGTTCCCTAAAACAGTCCCACAGTGCACTACAATGCCAGTTCGTCCCAGTTATTCCCTCAACCTTGAAATGGCTAATACCAAGCAGCTGAGTTGTAGGGGAATAAATTGAATAACAAGTGAATTAATTTTCCCTACAGTACTGCTGCTGTGAAGCCCCCTATTAATGTTATTAAGTGGATTTACGAGAGTGCCTCCTGGATAGTACTGCTTAGTTATTGTGTGCATACTCCAACCAGGACCACTTTGATAAACTAGTATCATAAACCAATCATATTGCGACATTTAGTTCAATATTTTTTACCAGCCAATCAGATAGTGCATCGATATTATAAGAGTGAGAATATTATAATCTGATTGGCTTACACTGTTATCAGTTCAATCTCTGTCTGGTTTACGGTTATCTGATTGGTCAGTTTTTATTCAAGTGTTCCTGGTTAGTGTGTCCACACAGTAAGTTCTATGAATCATGTGAAACACTTTCTGGGCCTGATTGTATGAAGGGTATATATTGCTATCCAATGAATAGATCCTTATCTAGTGAATAAAGTGATGCTGTTATCCAATAAATTCATTCAGTGGTTAAGATTTATTTGTCGGATAGTGATATCCACCCTTCATACAACCAGGCCCTGATATATATGTATGATATAATGTTATGTATTTACAAAAAGATTATTATTAGTGTGGATAATCCCTGTTCCATTTTGCCTTCTGCATCTTTATGTCTGACATCAGGCTGTTAGCAAAACAAATGCCCATTATCTGAAACAAAAAGTAGAGAACAAAACCCACTGAGAAAGATAAACACAGAAAGTACCTAGGGAACCTTGTTGAATATGTGCAAAAAAGTACAGAATAAAACTAACTGAGAAAGATAAACACAAAAAGTACCTAGGGAACTAATATGTGCAAAAAAGTACAGAATGAAACCAACTGAGAAAGATTGTAAACAAACAAAGTGCCTTGAGGACCTTGTTGAATATGTGCAAAAAAATAAAGAATAAAACCAACTGAGAAAGATAAACACACAAAGTGCATAGGCAATTTGCAACCTTGTTGAACATGTGCAAAAAAAAAAAAAAAAAGAGATGGAAATGGTTTGGTTGAATACAAACAACATTGAATCAGTCTCAACACTAAGGTCAATTTTTTCATGACGAGAATAAGAAGCAGAAACACAAGTCATTCCAGCTATTCTTGGATCTTGGAATGACCTATCTTTCATTGCTTTTCGCCTATTGCATATTGCCTATTGCCTATTGCCATTGGTGATGACAACGTTTTTTGAAATAGGTGTATATATCTTAAGGTTAGGGCTCAAAATACAATATTGACTGGTCAAAAGATGACCCCTGGCCAAAATCAGACTTTTTCTGGCCAAATGCCTATGATAGGTCATCATGCCAGGCTATTGACTATGGGGTTATGAGGATGCAATATTGAAAGAAGACAACCCACACACACATAGAAAGTATTTCATTTGGTTAAGCAATCATCTTACAGCCACAAAATCCTTGGTAAGTCTAGCTAATCTTGGTTTCAAACTATCAAAAGTATCAAGTATAAAGAACAAAGTACCTGTAAAAGAGCTACCCCAACAGCCGCACCCCCAATTATAATCATGTTCTCCTTGAACCAAGTCTTGACGGCCTCCACACATACTGTGGTATAGATGACTTGGCCTCTTTTAGAAGTCTGTGGTCAGAAAGGGTTTAGCATTTGAAAACAGCTTGGAATTTAAGATAATAAGCCTTTTCACAGTTTAAGAATCGATTCCACTGCGCATGTGATTTTATCCCGAATTTCTACATTCTTTTGTCTAAACCTTCTTTGTTCTTAATTAAACAAAAGAAGGTGAGAAATTCGGGATAAAATCGCATGCGCAGTGGAATCGATTCTTAAACTATGAAAAGGCTTATTAGGAGGTACACTTGCTCTATCAAAAACCATACTCCGCAATAGAGCAGTTTTCGCATGACTGTGAAAAGCTCAGCGCCTTAAACATGCCGTGCCGTGACCGTGATGTTTTCTAGAATTTTAATTGGCTGATTGTTTTTTCTCTCACAATGTGATTGAGTGTGCATTGTCAAGATTGTATTTATGCTGTGAGCTTTTCATACACCGAATCGAAATATGGTGACCAATTTGAATAACTATTGTTCTGCGCTGACTAGCGACTGACTAGCCTTGTGTTCATGTGGAAACATAAAAGCATTTTCACATGTATAGGAGGCTATTCAGTCGCTAGTCAGTGCATAACAATAGTTATTCAAATTGGTCGCCAAATTTTGGATTCAGTGTATGGTCACACCAAAACTGCTCTACAGTCAACTGTCGTTACAGTAGACACTCTCAGGACTGTCTGAAATAGCGAGAGTTATAATAGGGTGATTTCTTTGTTTGCCAAGGATTTTGCTCCTGTCCACAATAGCGAGGTGTTGGCAATATCCAGGTGTTTGCAAGGCAACAGTTGACTGTATTCATAGTTTACAAAACAGAATGCAAAAAAAAAATCCATTAGCAAATAGAGCTTCATATTGGTAGGCATATTAATTTCTTTAGTTTCCCTCTTTACAGTTCCCTGCACCATCTTGAAAGGTAACTGTGCCTGTGCATCAAAGTGAGCACAGCGGTGACCTTGCAATAATAAATTATTATAGAAACCTTTTTTAACCCCTTGGACAATTATTCATGTCTTTATCATTGCAAGGTCACTGCTGTTATCAGATACTGTGTAATATTGTTTGTGGGACAAAATTTTAATTCAACTCAGGGAAAACTACAGCAATTTATGGGGAACCATTAATAAGATGTCAGACTTACACTTTTTTCTAATCTGATTTTATATCCACACTGCCTGTTGATTATATCCTGTTAAAGAAAGAAAGAAGAAAAAAAAAGAAGAAAAAAAAAGAATTAAACTCATCTTAATATATATATTTGATCCATGAAAGAACTAATACAATCAACAACATATTATGGTTAATAAGCATTGGTGATAGGTGACATGCTCTACAGCTCCCAGCGTGTTAGCACAGAGACTTTCATTCACATTTTTCTGATTATATATTTTAAAGACTGCGACAAACCTCTTTACAACAAGAGAAAGGAACTCCACAGCTCTCAGACCCTGGTGATGAACAATTAAAGTAGATATTCTGATCCCAGTCATCCACATCTTTTCCTCCACAGCATTTGAACTAAAGGAGTCAGAAAAATTTAACAAAGAAAGTTATAAAATAACTGTTGTGAATGTTGCATTCTGACTGGTTTGGAGCGCGTGCTTTATGGGAGCACATTGCACACGTGCCCACTTTCCATTGCTTCATTCCTATCTAAAATAACAGTTATTGTAATTTGTATTTTCTAAAACAAATTAAAAAAAACTTGCTTGCTGTGCTGTGTGCAGTCATAAAGCACTTGGGGATTGGCAGAACACTCAAGAAGTGTCAAGAAGCACTCCGCTACGCCTCATGCTTCTCCTAACACTTCTCTCAAGTTCTGCCAACCCCCATGTGCTTTATGACTGCACACAGCATGCGCGCGCGTTTTCTATTTCTTCAATAAATGTATGAATAAGATGTTACAGGCTGCAAAAGGATTGTTCTGGGTTTTATTGATCATAGACCTTGTAGGAAAAAATAAAGGAGGAAGATACAAGTGATACTCTAAACAAAACACACAGGATGTCGAAAAAAACACAAGAGAAGAATAAAAAACCACAATGCAAAGTGGTTTCCAGCTCCTCAAGATAGTGTTTTCTCAGTATCCCAAGTGCTTGAATATTGTCATTAGGAGTATATAGCTTTATATCTAGCTCCAAGGCACATCAGTCAAATCAATATTAAAATATTTTACCATTCAACTATTCACTTTGTGTTTTGTAGTTCTAATCGATACTGAAATATATACAATTAAGTAAGGTGCAATCGGCACTTTACATGTAAATTTTTCTCTTACTTCTTGTTGTACTCCATCAATTAGATTTTGTAGATCATAATTGTCTCTGTACTTTTTTATGGCTACTTGCAGCTTATCTACAATAACTTCTTCAACCTGAGGCCAAGAAGAAATCACAATTAGAGCAATAATATACAAGTCATATGCAATAGACCTCCTCGGCTCTGAGGTAATGTTTTCCCATTTCAGACCATGTGTCATTCCCTAGAGTATCATTTCTTTGTTTAAGGTTTGCGATCGGTTGCACATGAGAAGACACAAGAATATGTATACAACAAAGAATATTATTCAATGGAATGACACATGGTTTGAAATGGGACAACATTACGCTCGAGCGCTCCAGAGCCAAGGAGGTCTATTATTAAAGTTTATACTTATTCATTTGTCTTATGATTGTGTCAGTAAGGTGGACCACAATGCTTCGACAGCTACTGCTATTACCAGCCTAAAGAGGACTAGCAGTAAGAGTTTTGAACTGAACAAAGATGCATAGATTTGTTTTTGTTCCCAATGCTCCGCTCCAGTATTATTCACTATTTTGTACAGATAGCTTCAATTTAAGAGAATACTGAGTACAGCGTGCACTCTATTATGGTACAAACTAACCTTATCTTGGAAGACGAAAGCTGCTACTCCAAGGCTCAATTGAAGGAAGAAAATGATGGCAAGGAATATTGAAAACTATGTCAAAACAAATATAGCAACATAATTAGTTTTTTACAACAATAAAGCTAAAAAACTCACTTTTTTGAACAACCTATAGCCTAATGCAGGCAATGACATTATAGGCATGCGAATTTATACTATATGCCGTATATGCACTGGTATATGTGTGCTTGATTAGACAGGCAACAACATTGATTGAGTTAATCATGATGATGCTGCAGAGTTGTGTTGATGTTTAACCCGTGGAGGAAATATTTCATTGTGTAATGTATGCTGAAGGTAAAGATGTGCTTAGAGAGGCAACAATCATTGAGTGGTTTTAAATCAAGTTGTAGAGTTGGTGTTAACTTTTAACAAGGTTAGTATATATTACCACAAGGAATTGCCAGGGCAATACTACATCCATGCTTTAACAATTTTGGTGTTGTTGTACAATAGGCAATGTGCACAAGCATGAATCTTTAGCACAAAGCATTGTGGGGAACTGAGTATTTCACAAACCAGGACAAGGAAATCAATAGAATTATCAGGAAAAAAATTACTCTGTTATTTTTGTCTGTTGAAATACTTACAGTTTCATAGAAAATGTTGAAAAAAATTGTCAGAAGAATTTTTGGTAAGTACTCGGTTTCCCATCATGCTTTGTGTTAGAGATTTGTGCTTGTGCACATTGGCATTACTTACAAACTTCAGTAGACAAATATTTTCTCTCAAAGCACCAATGCATCCACTGAAGCCCAATATGAACATTATGGCCCCAACAATAATCAGGGCAAAGGCAGGATCTGTTAGTACATCGCTAAAGAACTCTTGGTAGGCTGTCTTCTCAAATCTGGCATATAGGCCAATGGATATCATAAGCCCTCCAATGAGCTGTAAAAAAAGAAGACATACTGTAAACTTATGTATTTCATGTGTGTTCTAGTTTGTGATTGCATTATGGTAACATGTGAAAAAGTTTTTTCTTTGGGGGGGTCAGGGGATAAATACATATACATACAGATACATATACAGTATATCAAACTATATGAAACCTAAATATGTGAATAGATAGAGACCCTTTGCAATATTTCACTTTAAGAGGCACTGCATAACTAGAAAATTCAAATTTTTCTGAACAATGAATATGAAATGTTCAATAGAAAAACGATCATCAGGAACAATAAACATCAAGTTTAGTTGTTTTTTTTTGAAAATCTGAACAACCTGATGAGAAATTTAGGATTGTTTAGGTACAATCTTAATAATTGGTATAAACTGCATTTTTTTTACCATGAATGCACTGTATACTAGCTGTCGTGATGCTGCTTTAATCCTTACTCCAACTCTATAAACCTTCATAATACCTTTCAGAGATATTTTCAAAATACATAGCATTTCAGCTTTTCAAGTTACAAAGATGTTGACTATCTGGATTTTCAAACCATAATGTCTGTTTGTTTATAGCTCAAAGAGGAAATTTGTCAGAGGAAAAGAAATGTGAAATGTCAGCCAGTGACGTCAATAACATCTGCTTGCATTTCGTCCAGAAACGGACCTAGCAATAGTTCACTCCCCTCTCACCTCTGGGGTTACTGGTTCTTGTAATTCTCTTAGTTGGCATTACATGTGAAAAGAGTTTGTAAGGTCTCTCCCTAGATTGGAGGGCTTGTCTTGAACCTTGAGATATAAAGTTTTTTTCCTTCCACAAAACCTTACCTAACTAAATTCAAATTGATAAACTAACAGCTTGCTGTGTCCTGACTTTGACGTTGTTGTTACAAGGTATCAATAGCATTTTAAATGCTGGGAAAAAATATAATCTAGGGAAGATGTACTGTAAAATACTTTTATCACCAAGCAATATTACGAAATTGTTATCATAAACTCTTCATGGGCTTACAAAATGTACACATTGACCTACTATAGAGTGTGAAAAGATGGATGATGTAGTTTATCCAGTGATATGTCATGCACCAATAAAAACAACTGAAGTTTGATTAAAAGTTTTAAGAATTACGTACACCACCAAAATATACGATTAACAAGAGTTTCTTTGTTAGAATGTTTGGCTGAGCAGATCTGTGGTTATTGATCTGTATCGACAGGTACGTGATATTTCATAAATTAAAGCAGCTCGCTTATAGCTTTTATAGATTGGTTTTGAAGTTTAAAAAAAAATTGTAGTGTTATTCGTTAAAAGAATGTAAAAAAGTATAAAACTGTCAAAAAATTGCTGGTGGTGACAAAAAGAAAAAAGGATCAAAACATTCATCGATTGATGACAAAATCATTTAGGGATAAACTCTTACGTAAATTTTATGCTTCTCTAACCTCAAGGGTTTGTAATTCAGTTCAATCGTATTCACAAGTATTGAATAAATCAATGTCTAAGAACATATGTTTAAAATAATGTTTCGATTTCAAACAAAACTTCTAGTAAAGGTGTTATTAAATTTTATTGAGTTGGTTAAAAGATTTCCGCAATGACCAAATTAAAACATCACGTCGTTCATGCCGAAGCAAATAAGGTGTTTAATGTCAGTAAAAAAAACACCAAAAAATGATTTTACTCACCCAAAAGAAGACGTTGAAGAAGAATAATAAGTACTTAACACATAGGCTAACTTCGGACCGTTCCCTGGGCATCTTGGATGCTGTTTTTATAGAGAAATCTTTAGACAAACATTACATAGCAAAATAATAACACAACTGGACGTCTTTGCTCTGTTTGAAATGCGCTGGGTACCAGTGCTTTGTCTAGCAATTACACAGGACACCCAACTTCCACAATCGGTTCATATTTCTTTCTATTCTATTTTATTATTTTATTTCTCCTTTTCTTTTAACTTTACTGACGTAGTGAGTTGGTTTAGTACTAATGTCTTTTTTATTTAAAAAAATGGTTTTAAGTTTCAAGCAAATAAAAAAAATAAATAATAATGATAATAAAAAAAAAAACGGAAAGCGAAATATCTTGAAATCGGATCGTAAGTAGTTTCACATCACTCAATTATTTCTTTAGTTTATATCGCGAGAAAAACAACATAAGAGTAAAATTCATTGACGAGTTCTCACATGAATAGATCGAAAATTCGTTTAAATATCAGGTACTCTGGTGACGTCGGAAGCCTCTGAATCAGTGGGGTGACGTAGGGGTATGGAGTGGACGGCGATAACATTCATTAAGTATTATTCATTCATGATACAGAATGAAAGGAATGGACCTGACCCCCTAATGTCTGCCAATAATCACAGCTAATTCGATACCGTCATTCATGATTGAAAACTGTTATTTTTATAACAAGCTGAACAATATATAGAAAAGAAGAAAACAAGAAACTGAAGGTACGAAGAATGACTTAAAGAGAGGGAACTATTGAAAGCAATCTGAATGATAAAAATTACGTAGGCCGAACCGACGAAGGAGTGAAATAAAGAAAAAAAAAAGAAAGAAAAATATTAGAAAGGGTAAAAAGAAATAATGAAAAATTACCCAATAGATGAAACCAAAACATCCAAAAACCTATCTCTTTTTCGTTAAAATTGCGATTCCAAACTAAAGTTACAATGAAAGTGAAAGAAAACATAGAAAAAATGTGCGCATTTTCACGTAAAAATGTGAGTCAGTCATAAAGAATCCAGTTGTCCTCACGTGACTAGTATGAACCAATCAGAGGGACGTCGTTAGGTCGGTTGTTGTACCTTCATGGAGGCAAGTAATTCATGAAGTTCGTCTGATGAACGAATGTTTGGGTCCAAAAATCCTTCAATATTTATCGTTTCCTAAACTTTTAAGCTTCGTAGTTTTGCAAGCAACATTTTGAGTCATATTTCTATCTATAATCATCTCCTTGGAAGCCTTCTGAGAGGTAAGAAAAGGTTATTTTTGGTTTATGATTGAAGTGGTTTACGCGAATAAACCGTCTTTGGTTAACAAAGACCACAGAGTTTTTAACTAAAGGTATCTGAACTAATCAGATATTAACTTATAGATTTGAATTCTTCTGTTTTATTTATTAAAGTAAGGCCTTAAGCATCGAATTTTAAGAAATCGGAGGCCAGATCGTCTGAATTAGATATTACAAAGATATAAAAAGCCCGCCAAATCGATATTCATGCCCAAAATATTTCGTCTTGTTTTTATTTCGAAAAGATAAAATTTCTTCTTTATTTATCTCGGAAGTGACTTATACCAACAGCACTCAAAGAACTTGAAATATTTTATCTCTAAGTATTACATTTTAAGCTTGAAATATCCTATTTTTATTATAGTTAAGAAGCTTAAATAGCTCTAGGCTCGATCGTTATATACAAGCTAAGTTTACGAGGACGTACGTAGGTACGTTGCAGACTTGTTTTGCAGGACGTTTTGCTCTGATTTAATCGTTTTTATCCTATCCTGCAGTGCTATTGACATCTTATAATATACCTCCACATTTTCTCTTTAAGATCGAAAAGATACTGAACAGATGGTTACGCAAGTTTTTAGTAATTTTTAGCTTTTTGTCCTTCATGGAAATTAGCACTATTGTTTCACATCTGTGTGTATACTTTCATCTTTTACAAAAGTAATTGTTTACGATCATTATCATTCAGGCGTAAAGCATTACTTAAGTCAGTTATTTCCTTTAGAATTGCCTCCATACTAAGGCATGTCTCCGCGAGGGAAGTAATTTTAGCCATGGTTTCTGTTGGATGCATTTATAATCGATTTTGGTGTATTATTGATGTGCAGGTGTTTGCATGCTAACGCCTCCTATTTTTTCTAAGTGTTTAGATGCTAGTTATTATACTGTCCTTGCTTATGGCTATTATAACTTAAGATTAAATGGTCTTATTAGTCTTCTGAACGGAAAAATCTAGCTATTTCAGTTCCATTAAGACAGCGATTTAACAGCAATAACAATTTATTTGATACATAGAATGTTTTTTAAAAGCTGTAATTTGTTAATGAAAAAAGTCTCTAAAATCTAAAAGTTGGGATTTCACCTTGGCCCGGATATCATGAAAAAAGTCATTTAAATCACACTTAGGTCAACAAAATGACAGCGCATGTCTACCAATAATGAGTGATGAAGGCTGATAAGATCTATCAGAGATACATCTAATAGGGCTGTTTGTGGAATGCTAGAAGTTGCATTTTAAAGTAGAAACAGGTTGAATTTTATAGCAAAATCTCTACAGGTAGGTTGAATCTGTCCAATAATTTCATCTCTGAAAAATTTTTTACTCCAGTTGTGACTACGACTGTATCACCAAAGATCTAATCTTTATGATATATTTGATATTATCTTTGGAAATGTTGTTCTTCTTGATTGACATTCCTCCCTCGTAACTTCTTCTAACTTTACTATCTCATTCCTTCAACTTTTAGAGTTGTCGACACTGGGCTATAACACAAATTAGGACATTTTTGTTAATAATAATAGTAACTTTAATATTTGTACCTCACACATTTGATATATGCATTATGCTCACAGGCACGATAAAGTAAAATAAAATAAATGATATAAATATAAAGATTAGCAGACATGTCATGATTATGTTGTTAAAGTTCTCTCTGATGTCAGTCAATTCATCATCTTTAACAAGTGAATGAGTTGTATTGACACAAAAATAGCAATGACTATAATAACACAAACTCCAATCCCCCCGCTATAAAATTTGACAAATTTTTATATTGACTGTGGTGTCCTGTCTCCTCAAATCTCATATTTCTGTTAGAATATATTTTTCCTGAGTTTTTTATGTAATCTTGTTTGTTACGCAAGTTTTACCTGATGTATTGTACAATTAGTATTTCTTTCTATAGATAGATTCTACATTGCTCATAAGCCAAAGTGTTACCATGGTTGCCAGAGTTAGTCTTACCGCTACGTGATATAATTAAATCCTATCGTGATATATTGCTGTATACTGTATATCAGATTTTATGTTGTGCAATACGTAGTTCTATTTAGCTTTCCATTATAGACTTTACAATGTAGTTGGTCTACCAATTAAAATGCATAGATCTAGCTATAAAAAGGGTAAGATTAGTACATAATATTATCTAAAATATTTTTCAAATCAGATTTTCTTAACTATATGATATTCTTCTCTTATTCTCTCTATTTTCAGTAAACACACCAAACGCATAATTTATTACTGCTATACTATGTCTATCCTTTGCGTACATATTTATGGTGTTCAACTTAGCTACAGGTATAGAGAAAAAATATTGCTCTGGGATCGTCACAAGTACCCTACATTTCATATTCCGGCTACATTACCAGCATGGTTGGTCCTTGTAGTGTAGTGGTTAACACATCGGACTAGAATACCAAAGATATGATATTTTTCTCTTATTCCCTCTATTATATTTAGTGTAAATGCATTGAGATCCATAATAAATGTGTTAATGAATGATACAGCAGTCTACTTCTAACTGAGAGACCATGCTGTTTAATTCCTATTCCAAAAACCCAATTTTATAATATTTTTTAAACCAGAGATCATATGTCAAAAATCCTCTTTGAAATTCAAATACCCGTTATGAAAGAACCTACATGCACACACATCTTTGTTGTATTTTCATTATCAGCTTCATAATGTAAAGTGTATATAATGTCAATGGAAGGTGATAGTTTATATTTTGATTGGTTAAGTTAGAGTGGGAGCCTTCCAAGTTCCATATGATTCCATCCACTTACTATATTCTATGCAAAAATCTACTTTTGACCATAAATAAAATAGAGTACTGTCTGTTCTATATCCTGTGATAGTAATTGTGCTTTTTGGTGGTATTTTTCAGTTTTCGTCCCACCTCAAAACCAAACATGCCAAATTCCCATTTTGCTCTGTGAGTTAGCCATGCCCTGTTTTAAATCAGCCCAGAGGCTGTTTCAGGGTTCGATCAGTAAGTTAGCTGCGCCCTGAGTTTGAAAAGCCCAGAGGTAGTTTCATGGTTTGATCTGTGAGTTGGCCGTGCCCTGACTTAGATCAGCTTGGAGGTTGTTTCAGGGTTTGATCTGTGAGTTGGCCGTGCCCTGACTTAGATCAGCTCAGAGGTAGTTTCATGGTTTGATCTGTGAAGTGGCCGTGCCCTGACTTAGATCAGCTCAGAGGTTGTTTCAGGGTTCAACCTGTAAGTTAACCGTGCCCTAAGTTTGATCAGCCCAGAAGGTTTTTCATGGTTCTATCTGTGAGTTGGCCGTGCCCTGATTTTGATCACCCCAGAGGTTGTTTCAGGGTCTAATAAAATTGTAATGGTTAAATACAGTAAATTAATTTCCTAATCCAAGTATTTTGTTATTTCGTTACAGTATAATGTGGATATGATAGAATGACAGAAGAAGGTTAAAGTGGCTCAAGGACTCCTTGAGAAGAATGAAGAGAAGAAAATATTTGAAAACTAACATCATCAAGAATAGAGAAGTTTTGGTGAGTCAAAAATAAGATGCAAAAGCCTTTTCTTTTCATACTTATATACATTGTGGACTCACAAGTGTGTACTCGGACCATAGATGTTATTACAGTTGAGTACGCAATGAGAAATTCTTTTGTTTTAAGGAAAATACAAGTGAGGCTATCAGGTCAATACAGTGCTTCTTGTAAAGTCCTTTTTAAAGTCCTTTTTCATGAGGGTAGCATTTAATAGCCAGTGGTTAACAAACCTGTGGCCCTCATTCTGTGATCAAATTGGAATTTAGGAGTTGATTTTTGCGGAGGGAGGAAAACCGGAGAACCCGGAAAACCCTCTAAGCACAGGAGAGAACCACCAAACAACTCTACTCATATACAACACCGAACCCAGTGGGATTCGAACTCAGGTTGCATTGATGAGAGGTGAGCGCTCACACCGCTACGCCACCTGTGCTTCCCTTGTCTCATTTGCATGTCATTTGCTTGCATCCATAATATCTGTTATTAAATTGTCAGGACTTCTGTCCATTAACCAATCTCTGGACGTGAAAATTAACTCCCCTCTGTATTGAAATTTATGTTCCAGGAGTAGCTGCATCATGCCCGCATTAACAGCGAACACTGTGACACTTGAGGAGGTGCTGGAAGTAAGGGGAGGTCCCCTCACTGAAGAAGAACTCTGGGCTGTGTTGGCCCAGTCTTGTGAGGCTCTTCAAGATGTTTTTCAGAGAGGTACAGCTGTGGATGTGAGGAATTTTATGGAGAAATTTTAATTGTCTACTTTGTACAGGCTGTATATATCATTTCTAGGGTTTGAAATTCATTTACAGTGCAACTACTGTAACCAGGACCACTTAGACCAATTAGACAATAGAACCAATTAAAATGTAGAATGAAAACAATGCATTCCAACTTTGGTTAGTGGAGCCAATGAGAAGCATAGACTACACAAGAATGGTAATTTGACCCTGATGTTACGTGTAAATGTCATGAAAATAAAAAGATATGTTGAAAGGCTATTGTTATGAGGCTATTTTCTGCTGCTTTCTGATTTGCTCCCCTACTCAAAGTTGGAATGTATTGTTTTTCTTCTACTATTGGATTGGTTCTTTCTTTCTAAGTTGCACTGGTTATACACTGTAGTAGTTGCACTATCTGTAATCCATCCATCCAGTATTTTATCCATTCATCATTCCTTCTGTCCTTCTATCCACCCTTCCATTCATATACTGTACCCTCTTTTATCCATCATTCATTCTATCCATCTCTAGCCTTTTATTCTTTCTTCCATCCATTATTCCATCCATTCATCCATTTACCCCCCTTCTATCCATACTTCATTCCATCCCTCTGCCCATTCATTCTTCCATCCATCCACACTTCCATCTATCCATCTATTTATTTTCTCCTCCTCCCTTCATTCCATCCATCCCTTTGCCACTTCATTCTTTCATCCATCCTTTATTCTTCCATTCATCATCATTCTATCCATGTGTCCATTCATGTATTGATTTGGTCTTCCTGAAATTGCTGTTTTAGGTAAAGCAAGAAATAGATTTTTTGGATCGTACTCCATCACACCAGAAATGATCCTACTGTGTCACACTGGCAGGGTGAAGTTTTCACTAGACCAAGGTACTGCATAAACCTATTTCAAAAAACGTTGTCATCACCAAAGGCAATAGGCGATAGGTCATTCCAAGACGGAAATGGTTTCGTTGACTACAAACAACATTGAATCAGTCTCAACAGTAAGGTCCGTTTTCTTAATGTGAATAAGAAGCAGAAACACAAGTCATTCCAGCTATTCTTGGATCTTGGAATGACCTATCTCCTATTGCCTTTGGCCTTTGGCGATGACAACGTTTTTTGAAATAGCTGTATATAAGACTGATATTTTATTACTGATATCACTCTTTATAATGGTTATAAACCCTTATACTGGTTCATGATGTTTTTTTGATCTAGGCTTTTAACTGGGAGGGCTAATTGGGGGGCTTAAAACCGAGAGTAAAAAAAATTAGGATAAAGAAGAAATATTTATTTCTTTTATTATCTCCTCAGGCTTAGGGCAAATGTTGAACTTTCCATGCACCGAACTCATTAAAAACAATGGATATCAGGTGATAATGAGGCGGCATTCTTTGATGTAATTAAGTTCGGTGCATGGAAAGTTCTACGTTTGCCAAGGCCTAAGTTCAATCATTTATGTTCACGGGCCAAAAAGACTAATGTACAAAATTCCTTTTGATGCTAGCTTATAGCAGGGAGGTTTAGAATATGTGTGTAGGGGGGGGGGGGGATGACTAATATAACAGGGGTTTTAAAGTGTGCTATAAATGGATTAAAGGTCTGTTCTTTTAATAGGTAATAATTGTATTTTATGTTTTGGAACTGCATTTTTCATCTTAGGTTATCACTTTGATCGTTCGTATACTGCACCTGAAACATATGCCAACAGAGCCACACCTAGTGATACAGCACTAGAAAAGGTAATGTGAATACTTGTTTTTCAATATACATGAATTTAACAGTCTAGTAATTGGTTATATACTCATAGTTGATGTTATTGGATGGTTCCTGCCTTCATTCCCGCCCCTCCTTCCTTCCTTCCTTTTCCCTTTTCCTCCTCCTTCTCCCCTTGCTTTCCTTTTTTCTTTCCTTCCTTGATTTCCTTCTTTCATCCTTTCCTTCCCTTTTCCCTCTCTTCCTTCTTTCATTCCTCTCTTCCGTTTCCCTTTCATTCCTCCTACTATCCTCCCTTTCTTTCTTTTTTTCCTCCCTTTGTACATTTTTCCTCCCTACCTTGCCTTTTTCCTTCCTTACTCCTTCTTTCCTCCCTTCCTTCCTTTTTCCCTCCTTCCATCCTTTTTTCTTCCCTTCCTTTCTCCTTCTTTTCTCCCTACATTCCTTTCTCCACTTCTTTCCTTTTTCCATTCCTTTTTTCATTCTCCCCTTCAATCATTCCCTCTTGTTTTTTTTTTTTGGCTGTCTTGTTCCTTGATTTATTAGTGGTTCTCTCAATTATTAGCAGAGGTTTTCATGTATATTCTAATTTATATTCTGTTTTGATTTTTAAACTAGATATGTGTTTACTCATTGGGGATGTCACTATATCATGCAGCTGAGTTTGAAGTAGCAGTTGGAAAGGTAAAAATTACAATTACTTTTGCGACCAAGACAACTACCAAGAAATTTTTAGTCAGGTCTCTGGGTTTTTGACTTTTAATCATAAGATTCTCATGTGTCTGAGTTATATATAGGAACAATGTTTTTCATAGCTAGGTTTCAACCAGCTGATAAAAGACTTTGAATCCCATTGTGGTTGAAACATAATGTGATATATCAGCCAGAAAGAAATCTACATTATATTTGAGTCATGAGTTGTCTCGTTTCGTGTTTTTCATACTATTCCTCAATAATATCAACCCTAGTTTATATTGGTACCTTTAGTATTGATTCTATATAAATTGAATACATTGAATGGTGCAATATTTCTTGATTTGAGTGTTGTGTCTTTAAGTCATAAACTAATTTATGATACATATATTCATCCAATATGTTTAATGGCTGTGACGTCATTGAAAACTTACAAACAAAGCACTCAAATCCAGAAATATTTTGCCATTCAACTAATCAATTCATTTAGAATCAATACTGAAACCATTAAACTAACTAGGTTTATATACACACAACTTTAAAGATTTATTCAGGGCAGAAAATGAGGTTGCAATGAATTAGATCAAGCAATTAAATTTGGAACCCAAAAACTAAAATTTTGGTATTTCGCTAACGTTTCAGTCAAGTAATCAATAGGAAAATTGTTGTAAGAGAGTTATTGATATATGTATTTTAATTAGTATAGCTAGTTTATTGTTAATTTTGGATGTACTATTTATTTCTCTATTACAGCCAATAAGTCTAAATGAGTCTCTGGAGTCTGTTCTACTTGGCATGTGCGAGGAAAGTGCCCATGCAAGAAGTGGATTATCTCAGGTTATGCAGGTATGGTCACTTCACTGATACTTCTTTTCCTAAGAAAAGACATACTTGATGGTTTATACACCACCTTTTCACCTCTCGGGTTCCATGTTCAATTCCAGGACTTGGTATCGTGTGTAAACAGAGTTTTTTTAAGTCTGCAGGCTTCAAAAGTTTCTCCATAGGCTCCTCAAAACCCAACATACAGTACTAAATTCTAATTTGATCTGTACACTGAATTAGAATCACCTGAGACTGTTTTGGGATTTTATAAAACTGAGAGTCAAGTCCATTTGAAACACAATGTTATAGCAAATAAACATCAAGTGTTAATTCATTTTTACTAAAAAATGACTAAGTAGCTTTTTAATAAAATGTTAAATTCTATTAACAGGAATGTCAAAGCCATTACAGCAGGCGGAACTACAGGGATACTGTTGCATCTCTTGTTGAGTCATTGTTAGGAGATGAAATACCAGATGTAAGTTCCAGTATACCCCTTTCCTCTTTTCATACTAAAACCAGGGACAGATCAAAAATCTATTACAGTCACGACACTTGAAGCTTGAACACTTCTAATTCCACCCCCCCCCCCCAGGTTTTTGTTTCCTGAACTTTTTACTTTTCTGTGCCCTCTTAAATAAAGCATTTAGTTTGGCAAATACACCAAGTGATCAAAATGAATCTTATTTCCAATCTATTGACTCACTTACCAACCACTTACTAATGCAACCACTTACAGTACAAACCATTATTTTACCGACACCATACCATGGCCGGTAACCGGTCGTTTCGCACAATTGCCTTTTTGCACGAACCTGTTCGCACAATTCTCACCTGTTCGCACAATACCATGGCCAAGTGGTGCGGGTTGTTCACAATAACCAGTCTACATGGCTGAGCTTTTACCCACCAAATCCCCACCCCAAATGTTAGTATGTAATATATAGTATGTATATATATATGTAATATTTTTTGTGTTAATTGTTTAGATTGAGGTGCATGATTCACTCTATGATATGGAAGCAGGCAACAGTACAGACATTAGTGATTATGACATTAGTGAAGAGGTACTATTTTATGAATCTTTGTGCTTCAAGTTACTTCTCATAGAGTGCCTTTGACCTGATACTTGAAGTGAAAAAATTTATATTATTAAGTGTGTAGTTGCATTCACACACTGCCACTACATTCAATAATATCATGTTCTATGCACATGACAAGTCGAATTAGAGGTTGATGTTTATGGTACCATAAAATGTATACTTATCATTCACTATCATGTATCATGATTATTAATATTACCGCAAACCCATGATCTGACGAGTGAATATAACGGAACACATTTCAGTCTACACCATTGCCTGATAATGACTAGCAGTTTGCAGTCTCAATTTTGAGACAAATAATAAGTATCATTTATTATTATATTGTTTTCAGAATTATCCATCCAGGTTTTCTCCAGTGTTGGCTACTCCCAGAAGCCTACCATCACCTCCATCCCTTCAGACGAGCTCAAGAGGTCAGTCAACGTCGGCACAGTTAGTGGGCAGCAACCATAGGAGAGTACTAACACCACCGATAACTCAGAGATCAGCATCACCAGGATTAAATAAGAGTAGACCTATACCACCAACCCTAGGTACTTAGATCTTAAATGTACAATACATAAGACTTCTTTTTAATGAAGTGGCATTGAAAAACGTTTGTGAATGTTTTTAAAATATATTTTTTCAGAGAAGTACAGGAGTGTTCTTGAAAATGCAAGATCCAAAAGGTCGATGGCCGCTAGTCTAAACGGTCTTGACCAACTCCACACAAGGGAATCAAGTCCATCATGGGATCAAATGACGCCACACCACCCAATAAACAGGAGTGAACCTAGACTTGATACTCCTTCAGTAGGTTACCAGAAGATACCTGAAGCATCGGGCTACTATCCCCACCCTCCAGCTGAGGGTAGTCAGTATGAACGACCAACTAGTCATCTGTCAGGAGACATACAAAATAGATCAGGACCTTCTGGAACAAGACCAGGTAAGTTTTATGATTGTTAAGAAATTCTTACAGGGCTCAAAATTACGGTTGTTTGACAGACAGTGGCTCTCCAGAAAGCGCCTCATAGGCTGGTCCTTTTGACCTGTTACATTTTCTGGTTACATGTTAATCACTCCATGGCTGGTTATCACGTCCAGCCATTGCTAGTCTTAGGTAGTAAATACATGAATTAGGAACAAGGAAGAGCCACTGTCATTTGGTTATCCACACTGACATCACATGTACTTTACACATACTTCCCCCCCCCTCCCCCCTAACAATAATAATTAGTTTCATGGGCCATTGATTCTATGATTGCTGACATTCCCAAACACATATGTCCAGAAGTTTCACCCATTCCCAAATGCATATCTTCTACCATTCTCTGGGGACACACAAGTAGCATCCAGGATTTCCTCAGTGTATGGTGGTCTACACTGTCCTTTGGGAGACAGGAAGATGGTGTAAGGTTATTAGGTGCATGAGACAACCACGCAAACATGTAGCCTGGTTTCTTGCTTAGAATTAAAATTTTTTGCTGGTGGTTTATCTTCTAGATATTCAGGGTTTGAACCGGTTTGCCAGCATGCATTCTGTAGCCAGCGACAGCTCATCATCAGCATCAGGTCCAAGATCTTCAATGTTCTCTGACGGTCGTTCATCATCTGCTGTATCAATTACCCAAGGCAGTTATGCACCTGAGTCATACCTTACTGATGGTTATGAAAGCGAATTCAACCTAAAGAGTTTTGGAAGCTCAGTATCTCAAAATGCCTTCAGAGCTGGCAGAAATATACCTTCATTAAGGTACTGTATTCATCTTGTTTTTCTTAGATTTTATTTCTTGCTTCAAATTTATCATCTAGTCCCTGAATTCGTAACAACCTTAATATGGAATAGTCCCCTTCACAGTCCCCTGAGCCATCTTGAAAGGTAGCTCCTTGCCTTTGCATCGAAGCGTGATGAAGGGTGAGCTTGCAATGATGGAGACATTTGAAGAATTGTCCACTTGCTTGCTGTGCTGTGTGCAGTCATAAAGCATTTGGGGATTGGCAGAACACTCGAGAAGTGTCCAGAAGCACTCCGCTACACGTCGTGCTTCTCCTAACACTTCTCTCGTGTTCTACCAACCCCCGTGTGCTTTATGACAGCACACAGCACACGCGCAAATTTTCTATTTCTTCAATAATGAATTGTCTCTACATGCAGGTACAGTAGTGTGCCAAAATAAAATATTTTGCAGGGCATAACATTATCAAATATACTCAATGTACTGTATAAATATGTTTGATTTCAGAAAATATTTGTCAAACTTCTCCCAAAAGGGGATTTCTTTGGGCATTGGGAGGGTTTGTAAAGGATACAAACTTTCTAGTTTGTAAAGGATACAAACTACGTTTTTTCAATTAGGTGTATATTTAGTGTTTCTGTGAACTAATGTTAGTATTAAAATGTATGACTGTATTGTTTTTATTTTTCTTTGTAGCAACAATCCACTTTACCTGTCTGTTAATGATTTGCACCAACCGTCTGCCGGTCTTGGCTCATCATTGAGTGGTCCTCTTGCAGCTGATAATCGTTATCATTCGCTTCCGAATATTAATAGATTTAATGATATCGAGAAAGAAAAACATGATTCAGAAGATACTCTTAAGGTAAACTTCCTTAAGATTTAAAAGAAACACAAAACAAAGATAAAAATTTGTTACACTCACAATTTTGAAGATTATGATAGACAGGGCTTTAAGTAACGGCTGGACATCGGACATTGTCGGGCAATAACTGGGATTTATCCGGTCAAATCTTTAGCTTGGCGGTCATTTAAACCAGTAACATTCAGGCAGAAATGAGATGTGACTAAGCTATGACTAATTTGGCCAGATAGTTGTAAATCAAAGTGTTTCAATGACATTCTGTGGCACACATAAAAACCATAAAAACCTTGCATAATTTCTTGGCAATGTCTTGAAATAAGTTTGAGGGTCGTTTCCCAAAACTTCCTGAGTTATATGAAAATGATCTCACATGGTGTTGAAAACAGGTGTAAATATGCTATATAAAGATCTCCTTACTGCACACATCGTATTCTTTTCGTCCTTTGTATTTATAACACTTTAGTTTGTAAATGATTGGAATATTCTTCTGAATATCCTTGTACAATGTTTTTCAATAAAGAGCTTACAAAAAAGATCACTTAGCAAAGTAAAATTATTTGTCAGTTTTTAAAATTCCATTTTGATTGTCTGATTATTTTTGTTATTTTGCATTGTAGACTTTCTTTGGTCCTGAGTTTGTGATGATAACCGAAGACCCAGAGAAATCCATAGTCAACATCACTCCTGTTGGTCAACTAAGGAAGGATGGACAGGTATACTACATGCTATATAACAGTGTTCAATAATTTAGCGACAATTTTCATTGCTTGCTAAAAGTGAGACAATCACAATGAGCATGTGCTAGATCATTCACAAGGACTAAAATCAGCTTACTAAAGAAATCAATTAATATTAAACAGAATTAATAATTATGATATAACATATGGGGCTAGCCTCATTGGGACTACAAGTCCGTTTGTCCGTCCGTTTTTTTGTTATCTGCATGGAAGTCACTAATGAATAAATAATAAATAAATAAATAACAGAAATTATGATTAATTCATATTAATTAAATGTAGCGACTGTACAATATTCCTGAATGCAGACAACAAGTTTGAAAATTAAGGTCTTTTCCCTGGGATGTTAGCTTCTGCAATGGGTATTGTTGACAGGAAAGAGAATAATAATATATGATTATTTTTATAACATTGTTTCAATCATCACAGCAATAAAGTGGCAATACTGTCTGCAGTGTTGTCATCATGTGAGACAGAATTGCTGCATGCATTGTGCATCATGCATGTGTCTTGCAATACAGATTAACGTAACAGTTACTTTGTAAAGTTACAAATATGAATTTCAAGAGGCACATTTTTAATTATATTTTTCTATTATTAACAGAAGAAAGGTTTTCATTCATCACACCCTAGAAAGATAGTGACTGTAGTGGCTCTAAATGGACAGAAACTGCAATTGATGGCTGAGGTATGATCCACACCTAACCCTGTAGACCTGTCATTACAAAAAATATATACATCATTACTGAGTCTATGGTTCCCATAATAATTTATTGTTTCCAGGTCTCCATGACAACCAAAGACCTATTTGAGCAAGTAACGAGATTCCTGGGGATTACTGAAAAAATATTTTTTGGGCTTGCAAAGATAGAAGGTATTCTGATACATATTTTGAAAATGCATATACTATGGATGTCGCCAGATATGGTTTTCATGACGGAAAAACATGCATGGTCATGCCTTAAAACATCTAATCTATGTATGGCAATGCCCACAAGTGTCACGCTTTCACTCTTCATTCCTTTCTCCGCATGTCGACACCCTTTCGATAATTTTCTTCAACACAATGACCATGACATGTTTTTCAAGCGTGCAAACCCAGTTTGCAAACATTTATATTTTAAGAAAACTGTATGATTGAGTAATAATTAAATTACATCAATCCTTTTTTCAGATGATGAAGTAATATTTCTCGATCTTGATGTTAAATTATCAAAATATGCTCCTTCAAAATGGAAAGAGGTTTGTGATGATGTCTTTAATGGTGCTCTCACTAATAACTGTTTTAAATTTATTCATATTATGTCAATTTGGTCTGAAGAGAATTGACATCATCTAAACATGACCTGTCTGTTTGTCTATCTGTCTGTCTTTCTGTCTGTGTGTCTGTCTGTATGTCTTTCTGTCTGTGTGTCTGTGGTATGTCTGTCTGTCTGCTTTTTTGTCTGTGTGTCTGTCTGCTGTCTGCTTTTTTGCCTTTGTGTCTATGTCTTTCTGTCTCTGTGTGTCTGTCTGTATGTCCGTCTGTATGTCTTTCTGTCTGTGTATATGTCTGTCTATCTGTCTGTGTGTCTGTCTGCTGTCTGCCTTTTTGCCTCTGTGTCTTTCTGTCTGTGTGTCTGCTGTATGTCTGTGTGCTGTCTGTCTGCCTGCTTTCCTCTGCTTTGTTTTTGCATCAAAATGTTTTTATCTCTGAGTCATTAATTGTATCTTGCAGTCAAAAGGAGAGATGGTAGAATTCATTCTGTACCTTCGAGTAAAATTCTATGTGGAGCATACCGAACTTTTAAGGTAAGCTTTTGTCCTGTGTGAATAACCAAAGAACTATCAATACCCTAAAATAAAGTGTGATACCGGCATATAAATCAAGAAATAAAGCTCATTAATCACAGCATGACTCGCTGGACTTGAATGCTTGTATGAGTCCTTGGCCCTCTGGGACCAGTATAAAAGCACTGATTAATATTTTGCTATCACATTTTCTTTTATTCAGTCTAGAAACAACTCGTCATCAGTTTTATCTTCAGCTGCGCAAGGACATCCTTGAAGGCAGGCTGTATTGTCACGAGGAAGCTGCCTTTTTGTTAGCTGGACTGGCTCTACAGGCAGAGACAGGGAATTATGTCGATACCCTTGAGGGAGATTATTTTCTTGTTGAGCATTATCTCAATGAAAGGGTAAGTGCCAGTTGAACATTATAATGAACCTTAGATCCCCTGGGGGGGGGGGGGGGGGGCTCCCACATATGGACTATACAGGGATGATCCACTGAACAGGGTATGGTTTTTCGAGCTTCTTATCATAAACAGGTTTATGCAATTTCACCCAAGTTCCAAGTTCTTCCTGAGTTTCCTGTCATATTCAGGGATTCTACTTTCGTATTGACTGAAACTGATTACTATGGTCTTCAAAAAACGATACTCGAGCTGACATGATAATTGAAACGGGAACACAGTACAATTAATTAATTATATTCTTTTTCATAAACAGGTTCTACAAATTTGAGTTTTTTTGTCATAAACAGGGTACTCCTTTCAGAATCCCAGCGGAACACCCTACCCAATTCCTTGCGGAGTACCCCCCCCCCCTGTTAGATCCATGATGGGAGTGAGGACGATGATGCCCAGACAATGATGAAGCATGTTTCAAAACAATTTTTCATGCGTGGGCTGTTGTTGTTGCCGTGTCTGGGGTTGCCATCTTTGTTAGAACATCAGGGTGGTATTCCACTTTCTAGCAAGGATGGCAACATTGAGAAAGGCTGAACGGCAAGAGTGGCAGTGTGCACACAAAAAGCTGTTTTGAAATGAGTTGGAGTCATTGTGAGGAGATGTGAAAAACCCCCTGGAAAATCGAGATGTGAAAAATCCTGAAAAAAACTCATTTATTTCCACACCAGATAATCAAGAAACTATCAGTTGAAAATACGACCCTCCAGCTTCCTGAGTTCCACAAAAACTTTGCTGGCTTATCTGAAGAACAAGCAGAGCTTGAGTTCATCCAAGAAGCACAGAAATTACCTGAATATGGCATACATTTCTATAAAGTGCAATATGTAAGCAGCATGGTTGTCACGACTACAGTGCATATTAACCTATTGCCTACGTTTATTGATCGATTTCATTAATTGCTAGTCATTTATTCTTTTATTGGTTATGATAGCATTTTTTTAAATTTATAGTTACTTTATAGATTATTTAATTATATAAAGTAATCTTTTTTGTTGTACATATCTTCTGTATTATTGGTCCATTCAGTTTAGCATTGTGAATGTCATCAATTGGTATATTGGTTTCACACAACGACCAGTATGGTTGTACACGTACATGTACAGGTTTTGACATGTATATAGTATTTTAGTGAAAATAGCCTTTCAATATTAATGTGAGACACTTAACGACCAGTATGGTTGTACAGGTTGTGACATGTACATATACAGTATAGTAAAGTGAAAATAGCCTTTCAATATTACAGTGAGACACTTAAACTGTGAACACTTCTTCAAGTTTCTTTGCAGGTTATTACAGATTTATACAATAAAAGGAAACGTTTTATTATATATTTCAGAGCAAGAAGAGTGATAATAGTGAAAAGTTGTATCTTGGCATTTGTGTCAGAGGTGTCACAATTTATGAGGTAAGTTTCCTCCCACTAATTCAGGAGCTGAAGTTCACATGGTCAACAGTTTGTGACTTTTAACGAACTCAGAGCCTGTTTTTTTTTTGGAAATATGTTCCAGAAAACACTTAAGTGACCACAAAGCAATGGCTCCAAGTTGGAGGTTGGACTTGATAAATGCATGAACATGATGAAATCCAACCTCTCCTTAGTGCCATTTATTGTTTTGTGTTTGATAATAATGCCTTTATTTACATTTCGTCAAAATTACAAAAATGATTTGAATTTAAAAAAAAAAAAAAAAAGAAAAGAAATATAACACTAAAGCAATGTTAATGTTGGAAGCCTAGAGAAACTAGGAGTTATCGAGCTAGGCTCCCATTAGTTGTTATATAAAGTTAAGATAAGTTAAACACAGCTACAGTCATAACGATAAAGTTACTCAATAAAACAATAATTTGTAGAGAAAAGAAAATTAAAAAGAAGAATATCAATAATAAATGTTATAATAAATAGAAAGGATACTAGAAATTAAGTTATTCGACATGTTTATACTCTTAGGGCTCAAAATAACGGCTTGTCAGTTTGCTGGTCATGATGACCAACCAAATTAGTTTTAGCTCATTCATGCCTCATTTCTGTCTCAACCTCACTGATTGAACTTTTATAGAACCATCAAAGGTAAAGTGAACCGGACAAGTTCCAATATTCTGGTTGGACTGCCTATTGACCAGCCGTTATTTTAAACCTTTACTTGACAAGTAAATTTCAGAAAGAAATTTAAAACTGAATGCATTTTTTTTTTTCAGTCAAGGGGACACATCAAGAGCCCTGTTCATAAACATTCTTGGCCAATGACTAAAAAGCTGTCATTTAAGGTTAGTTTAGCCCATTTTTGCAGCAGTGGGCAATGTTTCTGTTGATGCTGCTGATGCTTATGATGATGATGATTCATGACTATGTTGATGTTGATAAGGACATTAATGTTCATAAATAATGATGTTCATCGCGTGAAATAGAAGACATTGTAGTCTGCCATATTTTTAGGAGTATGGTAAAAGGAATTCATTCCAGTAACTTTTGCATCCTATTTTAGTATTCATTTGGCAGTGCAATGTTATTTTCACCTGGCTATACCTGAAATTTGGTCATTTGCAGGCTGCTATTTTAATTCGAGCCCTGATGACATTGCTATAATTGATGTTAATGTTAATTGCCAATGATGATCAAATGTTTTTCTCCAGGTTCTTTGGTTGTTCTCCTTCTGTAAAAATCAAATTCTAAATTTCAATTAGCATCCAGCGCAAGAACCACTGTAATTCCCCATTACTTATTTATTATTTATTTAATATTTTGATTTTGTTTTCAGAAAAAGAAATTTTTAATAGAGCCAATGTCAAACCCAGATGGCGTGAAGCTGACATTTTACACCAACCATTACAAAAAGTAAGCTGCCTCTTAAGGTGGCTGCCTACTTTTGAACGTTCGATTTGAGCCCACGATGTGCGCGCGCTCAAAAACCGCTGAAAAATCTACAAGATTTTATTGAAGAACCATACGCGTTTTGAGCTTCAACAGGGCAAAACCCTCGAATTTTGCACGGGACTCTATATTTTTTAATAGCTCATTCGAAAAAACTCCCAAAAATCTAGGTCATATCAACATTTTAGAAAAAGTTTAAATCAGGAACACGTGAAAAAATAGATTTTTGTAGGRATTTTTGTTCGACTTTATGAGATTTATTAAGAGCACCGAAACTACAAAACATGACAAATCAATGTATCTCTCTGTCTTTTTGTCGAAAATATCCATGTATTATTGTAGAAGGATTGACTAGCCTTCRTTCGTGCAATCATATAGTCTGCAAATAACTATTATCTTATTAATCTTAATTTTTTTCTAAACACTTCCGGTGGCGCAATTTTTACTCCAAAAGCTCGTGCGTAGGCTTCCATTAAATACTGATTATCTTGAAAACGAGCTCGGGACACCCTATTTTTCTTTCCAGATTTGGAATCAGCATTAAATTTCAATTTGGAAAATCGAAGTTTTAAAAAAAGCTTAAATCAATTTCCAAAAGTAGGCAGTCACCTTAAGAATTTTTCTATACACAGATTGAGAATTTACAAATTGACTGTTTTTTAATTTTTTTACTTGTCTGTCCTCTTATTGTTGATGAACTGCATCACCCATTGCCAAAGTTGGGTGGATCCACAAAGATGATAAGTGGATTTGCAAACTACTTTCATGAAAATTGGATAATGAACATGTGGTGTAATGTGAATGAGAGGAGACAGACACAAAACGTTGTTGTCAATTTGTGTTTTACAATTATAACAGCAACAAAAAAAGCACAAATGACAAAAAATTCTTGTTTTTAGTTTTTAGTGATCAAAACAACCAACAGAATGAGCATGCGCTGTTGATGATGTCAGCTTATTTGTCTCTCCTCTTCTTTATGATAAAAAGTAGCCAATCATTGTGCGAGAAATTCGTATGTCATAGCAATAGATTACTTAATCAATTATTCCTAAGAGTGCTTACATGGGAGAGCATTGTATACGATTGAAGGTAGTCTATTGCCAATTAATTTGTCATGACTTTTGTCAATCAGTGGGTAAAGCAGTGGTGAAAAAATAACTATATTATTAGAGTTAAAATGATGTTAATATGTTTGTTTAGGGCCAAGTATCTGCTGCAAATGTGCACAGCATTCCACAGATTTCAGATGAAAATGAGAACACGACTGGCATCTATAAAACATGAAATGTCTGTTGACAGTAAGTATTAAATATGATTATTAATAATAGCATTTATTGAAAAATAGAAAATAATCATGCATCAATAATCCCTTTTACAATTCCCTTGACCATCTTGAAAAGAAAGGTATAGCTGCTGTGCCTTTGCCATCAAAGTGAGACGAATGGTGGGCTTGCAATGGTTGAGACCTTTTTTTAACACAATTATTCATGTATGTCTCTATCATATTTGTGTCTTGTCATGTGCAGCTGTTAAACGAAGAAACAACACTAATTATAGATTATGACACATGGTCTGAAATGAGAAAACAATATGCCATGCAAGCTATTTAAACGAGGTCTATTGCATTTGAGAAATTTTGCAAGAACAGAGAGAGAAAGAGAGTTAGAGAGAGTGAAAGAGAGAGAAATACATATTGGGTATCGATATATTAATAATAATATTTATTGAGACACAATAAGTTTTACAGCATTCTGTTGTGGTTGTGTATTAAATGACAAATACTATATTTGTAATTCAATACACGACCACATTGATCATCAACGCTGTAAAACTTATCATGTCTCAATAAATATTATTATTATGCAGTTTATTAAACATCTGGATGCAAGGCAAAGACACTCATAGGGTGTGTTAACGTAACCTATGGGTGTTATTATTATCATCATCATCATCATCATTATCATTATTATCATTATTATTATTATCATTAAGAACTCTGTATAATGTCTTGTTAAATTTCACATTCATTTGACTTCTTTTCTTGCAGTTGACATTGAAAATAAACACCAAGCAGTAGATGGTCCGTCGAAAGACAAGTTGTATGACAGAACACCGGCCCCTCCCATTTACAAACAAAATTCTCTCCATACACCCTTGCCAAGGTCAGTGTCAACAGAATACAGAGAGATCTCTGTGGACCTCCCTGAAGAGAAGTACCATGCTATGCCAAGATCTATGTCAGTGGAGCACAACCAAGAAGAACCAGACACTGATGAATACCATTTACCGAGATCAGTATCAATGCAATACTCTGTTGATGAGAACCATAATAAGGATTACCATGGTAACCAGGAGCCAATAGGAAAGCATGGGAAGCATGATGATTTGTCACCTTATGTTATAGGTCAGTCACGTAATGGGATGTGTGTGTTATATAATAGTAAATCTAATGTTAATGTTAGGAATAGTCTGACACAGGGTGACCAACCTAGGATGTTGCTTCTTTCATCATGTGGACCTAAGAATGCCAATGTAACAAAGTCTTTGGTCCTTTGCTACAGAAGATCTCAACATGAAAATTATACTGAGTCTCTTTAATCAAGATAAATAGACCTTTCTTGATTTACGCTTTAATGTATTACCTGTAGAGATTGCTATCTTGTGTGAACTTGCTGGTAATTAACTGGAAGTTATCAGATCTTATCTTATAACTTAAGTAAAAATGTTAATCAGATGTGTCTTGTTGGGACGCTGATCTTGCTAATTTGCTCTTTGCCTAATGACATTAAACTTTCTTCCTTTCCTTCTTTCTTTCTTTCTTTCTTTCTTCCTTTGGTTCGTTCGTTCTTTCGTTCGTTTGTTCTTTCTTTCTTTCTCTCTCTCTTGTTCTTTCTTCCTTCTTCCTTCCTCTTCGTTTTTTGCTCCCTCCCTCCCTCTCCCTCCCTCCCCTCCATTCATTTCTTTTTTCTCTTTTCTCTATTTCAGCTATCTGTCTATAATCAGTTTTCTTTGTGATGTTGTCCCCTTACTTTACACAGGCCATATTAGCCGATCTTTAAAAAAAACAACTACAGAACAGCATTGATAACTATTCAGCCTAGTTTGAAGGCTGCCAATCTACTGTCTTCCAGCTTCACATTGTACATGTGTTGAAAGGACTTGAAGTATAAATCACCAGGGTGCTGAGATCTGCAGTAATTGCTTTCATACTGTGTAAACGCTTTCTTTCTGCTTTTCAAAAAAAGCAATTAGCCTGAGACAACAAAGCTTAGAAGACAAATTTCTTTCCCTTGTTCAGCATTGCCAAGTGTTCTTCACTTTCTTTGTCTTTGAACTATTATCTCTATCTTAACCCCATCTTTGATTTGAAGTCATTGATGAATTATTTGTGAAATGATTTCAATCTTTAAATCCAAATAAAGTTTCTTTCTTTTCTTTGTCTATTCTCTTCTTAGAACCACTCACTGTCATTCTTCCATCTGCTGTAACTGTATATCCTGTATTCATGATGCAATTTATTGTTTGTCAGTGCATAAAAAATTTCATTGGAATTTAATGATTTCAATCATAATTAAAAAGCAAAAACATTTCCTTTCTTCCTTTATTTTTTCCTTTCTTTCTTTCTCCCTTCCCTCATTACTTTCTTTCTTCCTTCCTTTCTTCTTTCCTTCCTTCCTTCCTTCCTTCCTTCCTTCCTTCCTTCCTTCCTYCCTTCATTYCTTGCTTTCATTTTTTCTTTGTTATGCACTTTCAACTGAGTAACACCAAACTCTAACAATATCAGTTCCAATATTTAAATGTCTTTTTTGTATCTCCTGACATCCATTTTGCTGTCACCTTGCCAACAAAGAAAAAATGTAAACACTCAGACTTCAACCAGTCACTGTCAAGTACAATCTCTTTGGTGACCACCTAAAGACGTACTGAACTGTTCATGTTATTACATCCTCTCTAACTGCTGCTCCATCTCCACTTCTTTTGACTTCAAACTTTCTTTACATGGAAAAAATATTTAATATTTTGTGATGTTGCCGTTAGACATTTATGCCTGCACTTGTCAATTGGAACAACAAGTACTTTGTGGTTGGTATTATACAATAATTCAAATATATTTATTGTATTAAATTACTCAGCAATTCTGCTTTAATTTTACAGCTGTCTTCTCTCATATAAGAATATTTTACAACTTTGTATTTCTTTCTTATATCAATATCATTGACAATTCTCATCTAAAAAATATAATTCAAATTTAATTTGAATTCAACAACGATATATTTAACTTTCTCTCCCTTAAGATAAAATGTTATTTAAACTGACTTCGACTTTTCAAATCAACTTTGGATTTCTTTCTCATATCAATATCATCAGCAATATCAGGCCTTATCTAAAACTTTATTTTCTTGTGTTCAAGAGCTTTACTGGTAGTTTAAAATGCAAATCTGCACACTAGTATCATCTGTCAGTAGACACAAGAGCTCCTTATGTTGAATACAGGCCATTACAAATATGCTTTTCTGTTTAGTAAACTCAAATCTGAAGTATTATATAATATATATATACACCAACTTATAATTATTCTAGCTACTGTTGCTTTTCAATTCATTACAGCAATAACAAAATAAATGTTTGAGTTTTTTCACTTCTTTATGAATAGGTGTTTGCATGACTCTGTAGTATACAACCTCCCTGATGCTAGATACAGATCTTAGATATCCATCTTTCATGGATATCTATTTGTGATATTTCCTTCCTACTCTTCTGTCTAATATTTCTGTTGATATATCTTTTCGAAAATTCTTTTTTTATTGGAAAAATCCTTTTTATTTGTATTTTGATATTTTTATGCATATGTTACACAGATGATTTGCAGTACAGCAAAAATATTTTCCCTCCTGATAGTAGTTTTTCTTTTTTTATGACCACTTATGACATGTAGTACATATATTATTATCATGTAAAGCATTACATTTATTTTCCCCCCAACTAATTTTAAAGAATGATATCTTTCCATAAAATTCACAACTGTCAAAACCTTGGTAATGTATTATTGTCTTGAAAATAACATTTTAGTGTACGTGGGATATCAAATCCTTACCACTTGTTAAAATGATATTTTTTATGAGTTTACCTTTAAAAAAACAATTTTAAATTTATTGTTTCGCAACCCCTGGGTTGGGCAAAGTCAAAGTCAAATAATTATTTTGTCTAGTATATACTTTCATTTTAAAATTATTTAACAGTTTTTTTTTCTAATCCCCTTCCATTTTCAAATCCTCTTTACACCCTGAATTTTACATAAAAAATATTTTTTTAAAACCGAAATTAATTGACGTCCTTGTTCAATAAGGTAACACATGCATGGTAGTCTAACAAACCAATGCCTCTTATTCCATGATCAAATGGAAAATTAAAACTTAATTAATATTTATTATTATATTTGCTGAGAAAAAAACCTAGATTTGTACAATCTCTCAATTCAAATATCTCAATAAATATTTTCATCAAAATGTATCGAAATAAAATCACTTAGTTTAAGAATTATTATGCTTGGAACCCATACACTTAAAGCTGCACTTTTTAAAGGTATCATTCAACCTTTTATGTCGGTGTATTAATATCATATTGCATAGGAAGCAATTTTCCAGTAGACAATTTTTTTAAATCAAAATGTATCTACATGTTATATTAAAATCAATAGTATTAAGAATTAATATTTTGCTTGAACCCATATGCTTTTGCATCACTGCAATTTTAAAAAGTATGCATTCAAACTTTTAGGTATTAATGTCGATGTGTAGGAAGCAATTTTCCGGTAGACAAAAACGTTTGGCATGCATAACAATTTAATGGCTACTTTAAGCTTTAAGATTTCAGGATCTAGGGGTTAACAACAGGAGTCTATATTATTGTTCACGATATCATTAAACTTAAAGTTAAAAAGAATTATATTTAACCAGCCTTTTAGCTTTTTTAATTTAACTTCATGCTTTAAAAAAAGTTTGTTTGGCAAAAATAAACAGATGTAAAAAGTCTTGTGTTTCATTTGATATCACAAAATATTTTTTTTATTGTACAAATTATTACAAATTACCAATCTTTTTGTTGTTACTTTATGTTTTGATTCATAATCACCCAATCAGAGTGGACATTTATATAATTTTATTTATTATTCATAGAATAAATGGAATTGGTCAGATTTTTCATTACCATTTCAAAGTGGTTTTAGAACACATCTTGTTCAGTTGATCTCTCTCAGGTTATTTTGTATGTTTTGTACTCTGTCATAACATTCAGGAAAGGCATTAAATTTAACTTCTATCTTTTTTTTAGTTTATTCATGCTTGAAAAAAAGTAATAGTTTTTAGTGTTTTTGAAGCTATAACTGGAAGCTTTAGTTTCTCTCTCATTTTTTTTCTTTTAAGTAATTAGCTTTTTGCAATAAAGATTTATAGTCCAAATTTGTGATAAGGTCTTAAAAAACCTTTAGAAAGATCTAGACGATTTAATTTTATTCAGTCTTACTAATTACTCTTAGTAGTGATAGATATATTTCCTGTAAGCAGTATCTTAAGTGTTAAACAACTACATGGCCTAATGTGTTTTTACTTTTCTTTCCATGGCAACACTTTTAGTGTTTATTTTCCAATACAAATTTCCCAGATTTTTACTAAGTTATTGCACCACATTTTTTGATAGCAAAAGTGTATTAAATCAGCTGTCTTAATTATTGTACAATTTATTATTTTGTTTCTTAGTTGTCATAGCAACTCATAATGTTTCCTAATCTCTTTATAGGAAAAAAGATATTAATGTTTTTAGTCAGTTCAACAAAAATGCATTTGAGGGGGGATTAGTAAGTTTGGTCAAATTTGAAAAAGATTACAAGATTTTAGATTAAAACTTTAAAACAGCATAAATAAATTGTACATCATCACTTTGTCTTCTTAAATGCTAATAGTCGGAAAAAGTAAATTTTGTAAGCCTACCCGAGTAGTGTATACCATTGCCATGGTTACCAAATTCGAATCAATAAGTAAATGTCATTGCCAATTTCTATGGTTAAAATCAACTGTTTCTGTCACTTGATCCCAGGCTGTCCTAGAGTCCCCACAGTAACAGTGTCCAAACTTTGACCTCAGTCCCCTCTAAAAAGTCTGTTAATCAAAGTATCATGATCATCTGGGTCTAAAAAGTCTCTAAAAAGTCTCTCATGCTGTTTTCTTACTGTTTCCCTCTTATAAAGTATAAGATAAGTATCTATATTTCCTATAAAAAAAAACCAATGTATTCAATAAAGGTGTTTTAAGCCACAACACTTTCAGTAAATAACTATTGATGTTCTTTTATATAGTCCCATTTGTTTTTCTAATGTGAGTGTGAATTTTTTTATGTACGATTCATATAAAAACAAATTCTAACATTTAGATACTTTTATTAAAATGAATTTTTAAAAATATTAGCGTTTTCATGGAAAGATTAAGAACCATGTGTAAAATTGAAGAGCGTGTTAATTTTAATGAAAATGTTTTTCTCGATTAAATTTTTATTGCTCACTTTAAAAGTTTTGTTAAATACACAATAAAAATATCTATTTTCTTTGTTCTGTATATAAATATAAAAAACATAGCTCCAAGAAAGAATATGATATATCCTCTCTGTCTTGTAATATTTTCGTCACACTTAAAGACTATAACTTGTAATATGATAGTTATATAAAATACAAGGACTACTAAGTAACATTTACTGTTAGAATATATATTTTTATTATTTGAAGTGCTTTTTTTTGCAGAATAAATTTTAAAAGGATTATTTGGAAAGAAATAGCATGAAGTTTATTCATAAATTATTTCTCAACATTGCCATTTTCTCAAAATCTTCAAAGTTCATGCATTTTATCGAGGGATTCTTTAGAAATTATTAGAAATTAATATAAATTGTATGCTGGAACAAATTAAGGGCAGACAAGCTGAGGGTTTTTCATTCTTTCCAGGGCATTATATTTGCCTTTGTTGTTTTGTCTGGGCTTCACCTGTCATACACCGACTATAGACTTATGTTTTAAAATTTTTTACCATAATTATAATTTTTTTCCCTGTTTTTGAAATTGTGGTTCTACTTTGTAAGCTTATGCGTATAGATCTTTACCAAGACTTAAAAATAAATACTATTGATTGGAAACACTTTTAGATGATCTCAAAAACCCTTTTAGACAGTTTTTGGTGAATGTCTTGGCTATACTGTCAAAAGATATATTGAATTTATTAGAAATAAGCACAAAACTCAAACAAACCCACTTCCTTGCAGAAAATCTCATATCCTGTTTGTGTTGATATGTAAATTGACTGAGATGGAAGTGCATGAGTTTAAGAATGATTAATGTTAGACTAGTTAGCATTTTTACTGACTGACGACCCAGAATGTAAATTTTTGGCTTAATTCAAACCATAGCATTGCTTGTTACTCATGTGTGCTTTTATCTTGATCCAAGTGAGGCCATTTTCAAGATTCGTCTCACTGATCACCCATCAAGATTAATTTGTTACTAGTATTTACGGTATAGTTTTACCTCTTTGGCCTTTCTGCTGTACTTAATTCAATATTTTTTTCAATGAAAAATTGCTCCTGTATATTGTTCTTCAGAAACCCCAACAAGAATGTTTGTAAGTTGTCTGTCTTGAATATTTTGCTTGTCATTCCCTCTCTGAATGTTCTAACTATGGATTTTTTCAATAATTATTGTTTACATTTGTTGTAGATTCGACTCTGAATGTTCCAAGCAAGCAGGAAAACCAACAAGATGACACAAAACATCTACTTTCTCCTAAATCCCCAGGTTAGTCGTCTAAATTGTCTTTGTTTAATTTGTAGGTAAAAGAAAAACATTCGATTATACTTCAAAGCGAAAAGATGAGTTTCAAAACATCTTTAGAATAGAGTAAAGAAATCAGTGTATTTTTTCACTCCTAGTTAAATGAAATCTAGAGGATAAGAATGACAAGACGTGTAAACGTACTATCTAGGATTTTTCATTCACCTCTAGCGTTTATGTGTAATCAAAGGATTTAGATCTTGGCTTCCTTCATCTATTTGTGAATTATAAATGAATGATATAGAATATAATGTTTTACGTTTTTGAGATTTGACATAAATTACTCATTACAAATTTGCCATTTATTGTCTAATTAAAGACTGTGAGCTGCGCACTGCATTTTCACACTATTTTTCATTTATTTATGAAAATCAACAAAGATGAATATTTTTGTAACCTGAGATTTCATTCTCGCTTTAAAATGCTTTCGAAAATCAAATTTTTATGTTGTATAAGATATTGATTTCAATGGTTGGATTCTGAACTAGAAAAATGCCATCCACTTGCTGTGGGAGCATTGTATTTGAATTATTATTGCATTTACAGTACTCTAATCTTTTAACTACAAGTTAAGAAACCTTTAGAAATACCATAATTGTAAGGTATTTTTAGTAAGAGACTGAGTTATTTACGAATATTCTCAGTAAAAGAAAAGATATTTCTCTCTTCATCCATGTTGGTTTTGATAATCGTGGTCACTTTTTTAAATTGAACACGACACATATGCAAGATATACAAGATAGGCATATGAAAGCGATTTAAAACGATCCAATCTCTTTTTTTTTTTGACCATTTCATTCCCTAAATCAACAATACATCGTTCCTTGCTCGATCTAAATTCAAGCTTTTCTTTTACTTCTTAAATTCCATGGATTTTCGACTTCACGTTTATTAAATAAATCAATCTTACTTTTCTGTCAAAATTATTTTTCAATCCAACCAGACTTGTAATATATTCATATTTCTGTACACTCAGTTCATTTTCATTGTGGCATTTGACTTGACATTCAATTATCTTACGAAACATTATTTTTAGCTCTTTTTTTATTTCTTTATCATATTTTTGTTCTGGGAAATTTATTTATTTTACATTACTAAAATTTACATATAGAAGCCTTGTTTTTTTTTGTTTTTGTTTTTTTTTTGCAAAAGGTGCATATTTCTTATAGTTAAAAATGATATTTTAGCTTATATGAGTTTTTTCTGCCTTGAAAAGTGACTACCATTAAACATTTAGTTGACTTTTGATAATGATTTTTTAAATATTATTTATATTGTAGTATATTCAAGTTAACGTTTTTAGGGAAATCTTGCATTTTGAAATAAAAAGTTAAATGTTTTATATTTTTAAATGAACATTAAAGATAAATCACCATTGACACTCATCACAATCATGAATCGCAATAAGCAAAGAAAAAAGACAATACCTTGAATTAATAAGAAAATTTTACGCTCTAATTTCATGTGAATAAATCCCAAAATCTAAAAGTTACATTAAAATGCTTTAGATTTTGACAAACATTCGAATGTTTATTCTGAAGGGATTATTGATTGCGGTTGAAATTATTTTTGATTCGCTTTGTGTATTTTTTAAAATTTTATCTTACAATTTCAATTTAGAATGAATGCAGGGATATGTGAATGAATCTCCTGCGTTTTTCTCGGTCTTTAAATATTAAATTAAATGTGTTTTGTTGTTTAATGAAATAATAAATACAACTAAGTAAGATATTGAATACGTTGGTTCATTTCATGACAATGTGACTTCACACATGAGTATGACTTGAATAAAGTCGAAATATTGTCTTTCTACATCTCGTCGTCTTTGATCCAAAACTTGGATTTATAGCGATGCTTTCCATACTCGGAACCGTTTTCATCTTATTTACTTAAAACTGTCAGACCGACATGGTTTCTGTGACTTCACACGTTTTTGGTATTGTAACTTGAAATTCTGATCAGTATTTGAAGGTAAAACAGCGTACTTTTTATTATCATCATCATCATTGTCATCGGCTCAACCAACACCACCACAACCATCATCATCATCATTACCATATTCATTGCCATCATCATCTTTATCAACACCGCCACCACCGCCACCTCCATCCCCCTCAACACCTTTATTGACCATACTGTAACTATCATCATAATAGTCACTGTCGTCACCATCACCATCATTATCACCACCATTATCATCCTCATCACCATATCACAATCGTTATCATCATCGTTATCATCATCATCATCATCCCCATCACCATCTTCATCATCACCAGCATCTTCATCATCGTCATCTTCACCATCTTCATCATCACCGCCTTGATCATCATCACCATTATCACCATCCTCATCACCACCACCATCGTCGTCATTATTATTGTCATATTCATCACCGTCCATCATCATCACCGCCTTGGTCATCATCACCATTATCACCATCCTCATCACCACCACCATCGTCGTCATTATTATTGTCATATCCATCACCACCAATTTCTAATGTTAGTGTAAAACAAGCTTGAGCATCAAATGGAAATTAAACCACAACAAGTAAACACAAGTGCCACTTAAGAACCGGAACCTTGGATGTCTTCTCATACCCCAAATAGATTGATTTAATCTTCCTACATGTTTTCCTCTAAGTCGTTTATCGTAAAAAAAAAACAATTAAAAAAATGGTTAAAGCTATTTTTTTCCTTCGATAACGCGGGGAGTGATTGCCAAATTCTCCCGAGCCAGGGGCTGTGCATAAAGCGCTCGAAGGTGCGCACGCACTTAACCTTCTCAGAATTTCAGCGCTCCTTATTACGGGTATTTAAAGCTAAAATTGCACACGCAGAACAGAAAGAAGTCGAAACAAACATGGAGATTCTGAGGACTGAACCGTAGATCTCTATCTCTGCTACGCTTGCTCCTATAAGCAAATTATACTATATATTAAATCTCTTCGATAATTCTAAGCCGAGTGTGGGGTAGTGGTAGTGCACTCGCCTCTCACCTCTAAGGTATCGAGTTAGGACTCTCCCTTGATTCGAGGGTTTTTCTCCTGGGTCTAAATTGGGTTTAATTCCTGGACTCAGCATCACATGTGAGTAGAGTTTGTTAGGTCTCTCCCTTGATTCAAGGGTTTTTCTACGGGTTCTCCGATTTTCCTTTCTAAATTCCGAATCTGTCTGTATATACAAAATATTAAAATAGACGTTCTTTATCAGATTTTTTAATATTCCAAGGTTATGATAGTGTGCTAGTTAGTACAATCGAACGGCAAAAATAAATAAATAAATAGACAAATAATAATGATAATAATAATAATAATAATAATAATAATAAATAGAATTACTAAAAACAGTAAGATATAGTAGAAGGCATTTTTCATGGCGCGCCCACATTTTCCTGTATGTAATATTTATTCCTTGTGCGCAATATAATTCTACAAAAAAAAGCTTTTTCCTCGTTTTATTTTTATTTAAAGTGGACTCCCCGTGAAGGAAGCCAAAACACTTAAAAATATGCCGCGTCTTGAGTCGTTAGAGCCACAAAACTAGAAAAATAATTCGCTCCAGGGTAGAAAAACTACAAACAGCTATCTTATTATTCTCACTGAAAGCGAGGTGGCGGAGTTTTTTGATCGCTTTCTCAAAATCCGCCCCACAATCCTATGCGCCACGAGGTTGCTACTTTTTTTTCTTTGAACCAACTACGTAGAGGTTGGCGGGTGTGAGTGAGGTGATAATTGCTGCAAAGTTTTCAAATGTTATGTGGGTTATTTGAGTGTCAGCCCAGAGGTTGTTTCAGGGTTCAATCTGTGAGTTAGTCGTGCCCTGACAT